TCAGAGTTCTCTACATCAGTGGTCCTCACCCTTCCTAATACTGTCAGCTTTTAGTACAGTGCCTTATGTTGTGGTGATCCCCAACCTGAAAATTATTTTTGTTACTACTTCATAACTATAATTTTGATACTGTTATAAATTTTAATGTAAATATTTGTGTTTTCTGATGGTCTTAGGTGATCTCTGTGAAAGGGTCATTCAACTCCATAAAGGGTCATGACCCACATGTTGAGAACCCCTAACGCAGTAAATATACTTGCTGCCAATACAGATGAAGCTCTAATGTTGAAGACTATTTTAGTTATAAACAAATAATCCATATGCACAATTTAGTTTTGCAAATGCATGGGTTACAGTTTTAATTTCAAATGTGCTTAAATTTAATATTTGAGTCACCTTCTGCTGGAACAATTGTGCCCTGTCTATAAAACACATTGTTATCACTTAACACTGAATTCTATTTTAATAATACTTCATTTTTTGGTGTGTATACTTCACCAAATCATATTTTAATATGTATTAAAATTATGTAATACTCATCACGTCCATTATATTAAAGGCATTGTTCCATTTCACAATGTGATTCCCATGGTGGTCACTGTCACCTTTCAGTACTCATAAAAATGTGACTGGAAATCTGGTTTTGAGAGAAGAGTGCCTGTAGCCGCCTGCGGCATGTGGCCTTGCCAGCAGGTCACAGAACTGGTTCTGGCTTCTCCAGGCATGCTCACTTTTGGACAGTACAGGAGGAAGAGGTGGGCCTGTCTCAGCTTTATGTGTTTGTTCATGGTCTGTCTGCTATTGGTCCACTTTGCACCACTCTCTGTGTAGCAACCAGAGTGATCTTTGTAGCAGCCTAATGAACAGGGCCTCTTTTGATAACACCCTGCAGGACCCTACACTTGGTTTTAAGGCAAAGGGAGAGCCACAAAGTGGTGATGCAGGCCTTTAGTCCCAACACTTAGAAGGCAGAGACAGGGGATTTCTGAATTTGAGGTCAGCCTGGTCTACAGAGTTAGTTTCAGAACAGTCAGTGAAGGAAGAAAAACCTTTTACATACACACACCATTAAGCTTACCTGGGCCTCTGTTTCTATCCTTAGCTCAATTTCTCACTATGTTTTCATTTGTCAGTTTTTACAAAATATTAAAAAGCATAAAATTCTATAAAAGGACACTTTATACTCAATAACAGTCTCTATGATTACAATATAAAGTTGAATTATAAATTCCATATATTCTTTAAAACATTTGTACATCATTATACATATACAATAGATATAAATAACATATGCATAGTTTATTTATATTGTAGATGCAAATGACATTTACATAAACACATATACAATATTCTTATATCATTATACCACTGGGTATACTTACAAAAGATTTTAATCCATATAAATCTTTTTGAATAATGAATTTGAGGTAGTCACAATGATACTTGTGATGATACAGATAAATTTAGTGATCAAAGAAAATGAAGAAAAGCCTCTATAGAATGCTGGAATTGGGTGATAAAATTAATTGGATAACTGAATTAGTCAAAGGATTAGTTCATGTGAATAAGATAGGTTTAAATAAGCTACTGCAGTTTATGCCTTTTCTTCTTCAGGGATCTGTCACTAGAAGAATAATCCCAAGAGTTCTTCCTTCCAGGAAGGAGATGGGGCAGAACAGGTTTAAGCCTACCCTTTGGCTTTGAACCAATACCCAAGTGGTTTCATCCAGAAGCAAACTACAGACTACTGAACATGAAAAAAAAAAAAAAAAAAAAAAAACTCTGAAGCTAGAAGGCACTGAGTTAATGATAATTTGTTCCACTGTGTTGCTTTAATGAGATTTCTGTGTTAAGGATATCCTGCTGTATTTATATAAACCATGTTAACTGATGTCCCATGCTTCTGTTGGAGTCTGGGGTGGAGGGACCTCCTGGTGAGGAAAATGGGGTCTCTGGCTTTAGTGAAGACCTAACATTCCAGTAGGGCTGGTTCAACCACTTTGGCAAGGGAGGTGTGCTCACCTTAAGCCATGCTAAAGAGACGCAGAATAATTAGTCCTTCAGCAAGATACTGGGTGTTTCCTTCCCAGAATCCCCACCCCTAGAGTAGAAACTCCATAAAAGGGTCATGGAGGTCTGCCAGTTTGCTTTTTCCAACTATTCAGAAAAGCACACATGTATCTTTTCCTCTATCTGTTTTTAAAGCTTGTTTCCTTTGCATTTTGGGTTCCCTTCTGTGCACCACATACATCTTAAACTTCCTTACTCTTTCCTTCCCTCCTGGACTCCTGGTTGTATGTCTGCCATGGTCTGATCTCAATGCCAGTTTGAGCAGCATGACTTTTCCCTTCTCTCCTCCATTTTCCTCTGGGAAGGGGTTGAGGTTTTACTGCTGCCCCCCCACCCCCAGTTTTTCTTCTAAACGCTAATAAAATTGTCCTGGTGTCTCCATTTGAATCTACTCTTAAATTCTTTTATTAATGAGACTAAGAATGCACAGAGGGGACCCTGATTTTCTCTTGTATGAGTTTGTCACTGTCAATGGCTATTAGCACACTCAGTATAACTAACTTCATCATTCTTTCTAGTTGAATGAGATGATTTTAAAGCATTCTCAAACATATGGGACCTGTTATACTTACTATAGCATTTCAATCTTTTCATTAATGTGGAGGTAATTTGATGAAATGGGCATATTTCATGTGTGAATGCTACATTGTATTCTTTGAAAAGCCCATTAAAGTCCATAAAATTGGCATCTAGTTAATTATTTTCAAAAATAAAAAAAATGTAAAATTGTTGAAGGATATATACTTAAACCGAACTCTCAAATGCTTGAAATTGTCATGACATTTTATAAACACTGCAATTAAAATAATGCTAAATTATGAGTATTTATTGAAGTAGTTAGATGGTGGGTGGGCAGCTTCTGAGAGATATGGTATTACATGCAAATACTAGTATTCTGCCTTACCCGTTTTAAATTAAACTGTGTATCATCTTTGTATGATTTCCTGAGGACCATTAACAGTTTTTCTTTAGTTGTATCTTCATAGAAGTTAAAGGACTCTTCCCAGTTCACACCATCCAGGAATAAAAGAGCTGATGATAAAAGTTCGTATTACTCTTCCATCTCTACTAAATTATAAGATCAAGGTACAGCACTTTTTAGAGATGGAAATATAGATGTTTATCTGCTTATTTATACTTATATAAGAGTACATGTGAGAGGACGTGTGTGGTGCATATGTGTGTTGCACACGTGTGTGTGTTGGGCGTTTCTGTGAGTAGGTAGTAAGGTCAGAGGAGTGTCAGGTGTCCAACTCTTCACTCTCTACCTTGCACCCTTGAAACAGGGTCTCTCAGTTAACCTGGAGCTAGGTTGGAGAGCAGCAAGTCACAGTCAGCCTCCTGGCTGCTCCTCCACATAATTCTGGGGTTGCAGGTATATACAAACATACTCAGGTTTTTGTTTTGTTTTGTTTTTTAAAATTTGAACTCAAGTAAACATGCTTGCACATCAAATGCTTTTATCTATGGAGTCATCATCACCTCAAATAGAGCTTCCTTCCTTCCTCCCTCCCTTCCTCCCTTCCTTCCTTCCTTTCCTCCCTTCCTTCTTTCCTCCCTCGCTCTCTCCCTTCCTCCCTACTTCCCTTTCTCCCTCCCTTTCTCCCTCCCTCCCTCCTTTTATTTCTTCCTTCCTCACTTTTCTTTACACTTCTTTTTTAGTTCTAAATTAGGCTTTCTGTTATCAGTTACCCTTATTAATTTATCTTCGTTTCAGTCATTGTCCTATGGTAGATAATTTTAGTGATTAATAATTCAGTTTTAGTTCGTTTTTCCAAACTTTGTGTCTTCGCTTACCTGCCAGTTTGTGGCAGCATAACAAGTTTCTGGAAAACATAAATTTTAATGGTTTTCCATACTGTTGCTTTCTCATGGGCTTGTTGATGTGAGCTAAGACTTGTTTTGTGTCTTGTTTATGTCTTTGGATCAAATTGTGATGTTAGGTAAGGCAAAGTCACAGCTGCATAATGTGTGCCCCAATGGCTGCCTTGACTAAGTCTCTTCTTAGGCCTCATTCCCATGCTCACATTGAATTTCTTGAAAAAGAGGAGAGCAGGGCTTTGTTCATGCTAGGCTAACGCTCTAGCACCCAAGCCACACCCTCAGCTTTTTTCTTTTGAATCATTTTTTTTTTTTAATTTTAAAAACAATCTTACACACCAATCCCAGCTCCCACTCCCTCCCCTCCTCCTGCTAACCCCTCCTTTCCCCCCACTCCATCTCCTATCCACTCCTTAGAGAGGATAAGGCTTCCCCTAGGGAGTCAAGGAAATCTAGCACCTAACTTTCAAGACCAAGGCACTCCCTGCTATTTCTAGGCTGAGCAAGCTATCCCTTCAGAGGGAATCGGCTCCAAAAAGCCAGTTTGAGCGCTAGAGATACATCCTGGTCCCACTGCCAGTGGCCTGACAGACTGCCCAAGCCACACTACTGTCACCCACATTCAGAGGGACTACTTTGTCCTATGCAGGTTTCCCGCTGTCAGTCTGGAGTCCTTGAGCTTCCATTAGCTCAGGTCAGCTTTTTCCGTGGGTAACACCAAACTGATCTTGACACCTTTGCACAAAGCTGGCTCCAGGAAAATTCCCAAGAATCCACAAGGATGACCCCAGCTAAGACCCTAAGCACCAGGAGAGGGTACTTGAACTGGCCTTCCCCTGTAATCAGATTGATGGCTACCTGTATTATCATCATAGAATCTTCATCCAGTAACTGATGGAAGCAGATGCAGAGATCCACAGCTAAGCGCTGGGCAAAGCTCCCATAGACCAGTTGAAGCGAGAGAGGGGAGATAACACCATCGGCTTTTGACAAAGTCCTCTTTTAACAATTCTCTCAATTATACTGTTAGCAGAGAAATATTCACTAGATCATCTTGGCTTAATAAGAGAGCCTGCTTCTGATCTTCATCAAGGGGATAATTCCCCTGAAATTTCAGATTTAGACATTTCTTTGAGAAGCCCATGTCAGATCTTTCCTGGGTGGAGCACGGAGACTCAGGACCACTTCAACAATAGCAAGTGAATGCTGAAGGTAACTTCACCATTCGTCAGTGTTTTTCCTAAAGCCTTCCATGGGCCTGGAAGCAATTGTGATAGAAACATAGATTGGGTTTAGAGATATTCCCTCATCAAACCTATGATTTTGCTGTACAGCCTTTGGGGGGCATCAAGGCCCCAGACAAAATCAAAATGGTTCCAATCTGGAAATAGTTTGAAGTAGCGGAGATTTGTAACTTGGGGAAGTATCCTGGCTACATCTTGAGGTGTTATGAGGACATCATGTCCACCAGCCCAAATGGCAGTGGGCACCTTCATGGCAGTCAGGTCATAGATAGGAGGACGACTCTGTGAGAGAGACAACAAGCAATCATGAAAAGACACTCTATATAAGCAGCATGTGGACTTCAAAGAATGGAAAGCCTGCAAAATAAGTATCTGCTATGAGCATAACTCTGTTAGACAATGAGAGAGTGGAGGGAAAAATGTTCCCAGGCAATGAGTGGTTCCTGCTTCAGGGACTTTGTGAGGGAAATATGCAAGGAATGATAGCTAATTGGGCACTTGAATACAGACTTTTAAGGGGGTTGGGTTTTTTGTGTTGGTTTGAATAAGAATGACCCCCATGAACTCATAGTTTTGAATCCTTGATCACCAGTTGGTAGAGTTGTTTGGGAAGGATTAGGGAGTGTGGCATTGTTGAAAGAGATGTGTCACTAGGACTGGGCTTTGAGGTTTCAAAATCTATACTATGTCCAGCGTCTCTTTTTTGCATCATGGTTATGTCTCAAGACGGAAGCTCTCAGTAACTCCTCCAGTGCCAGGCCTGCCTGTCTGTCACTATGCTTCCCACCATGACTGTCACACTCTCTAACCCCTGGAAACTGTGAGCCCTAAACTAAACTCTTCCTTTTATGAGTTGCCTTGGTCATGGTGTTAGAGCAATAGAAATGCAATGAAGACAATAGATAAAGATGTAAGCTGGAAAACCTCCTAGTGAAGGGACAGTGTGTGGACCAAGACCAGGAGCAATAGTTACAATGTCCCAAGCTAAGGAATCTTAGAAACGCTGGGACAAAGCAGAGTCAATTTTCAGAGCTCTGTGTCAAGGCAGATAAAGCATAAGCTGTGGGATGATTACAGAAGGGATAAGTAGAGGATTGATTATAGCAAACTGAGAACACATGGCATGGATTCTCTAAATTAAAGCTTTGGAGACAACTAAATTCTCCAAAGAAGACTAGAGGGACCTGTGGAGAATCTTAGGAGAGTGCCATCATTTCGGAGGGTTGGGAAGATGAGTAATATAAGGGACGAAGAGGGAAAGCAACTAACCAGAGCATTGGCCTACAGAAATCCAGGATGAGGGGAATTGTTCCAGACTCATAAAAATGAACATCAAAATGTGGGAACAGAAAAGTAAATTTACTAATTAAAAGCCATGAGTGACTTTAAGTGATTTCTTGTGTAACAGACCCCAAACTTATTTTTCCAAAGTTCAAGAAAGAAAGGGAGGGGGAAATAAGACTTTTCTACTTTTATACTAAAAGGCATTGGAAGAAACAGAAGGATGGGATGAGGACTTAATTGAGCAAGGAATCAAAGGAAGGCTTGTTTGCTTATGTTTAAAAAGGACAGGGTTTCCTATAAGGCAGTAAGAGCAGCTGGGACCAAAGCACATTACAGATTCAAAGTAACTCCTATTAAAAGTCAAATGAATTTCTTTATAGAAATAGATAAGAATATCATAACGTTTGTATGAAAGCAAAAAAGGAAATAAAAAAAAATCACACTTCTAAGCAGATAAAGAAATGTTTGAGACATCACAATTCCTGATTTCAAATTGTACTACAGAGTTATAATAATAAAACAAGGGCTTGTCGACCAACTGAATACAACAAAATACTTGGAAACTAACGACAGAGCTACCAAGATGTAAAAACCACACATTGAAGAAAGGACAACCTTTCCAACAAATGGTGCTGGGAAAACTGGAGGGCCTCAGGTTTAAAGACAAAATAAGAACCTGGTGATTCACTCTGTAGAAAAAGTCAGTTCAAACTTTAACACCAATGTGTTTACAAGTTCAGCTCCAACCAACCATGAGGAAAGTGGCTAACAGCTTATTAAAAGCACAGTGCTAAAGGAGTCTACCGTTCTATGTTTTGTTTCCATGAGAACTGTGCATTTATTTACCAGGATGCTAGTAAAGATTCCTGTGAAACAATTCCCATTACTGTGCACCTTTTAAATTTTTGGTATAAAAAACTATTCAGTTACATTGGTTGATTCTTACTGAAATTCAAAATAAAGAACCTAAAATAACAGGTACATAAAGCTAATATACATGTTAAGGAAATTGATGTAAAACAAAATGTTAACATATCTAATACCTCTGGATGGAGGGAATGCAAGCAATCTACTCTCCTTTGTGTACACCCCTTTTATTTCTAAAATGTCTGCATATTAATAAGTCCTGCAGACTAAAAATTGAAAAACCTATCAGTACAAATGTCAGAAATTAGCATATAGAACTTTTATTATGCAAATAATTTTCCATCAAAATTTCCCAAACCCCTCTTCTGAAGTCTCTGAGTGACTCACCTGGTTATAGTGATTCATATTTTCAGCTTCACTTCCCCAGTCATAAGCTCTGAATTCATCAGATCGGTAAAGCTGGAATCAATGTTTCAGAGAGGATATTCACAGTAAGAATCATGAGAGCCACAGCGAATCTCAAAGAAATATAAGGTTGGGAGGGAAAAGGGCTCTGGATTCTCAGAAGGAAGCAAACCTCATATTAGCACAGAGAATGTTGTCCAATAGAAAGACTATGATGGTTTATCTGGGTTTTAAAAAGAAGCTCATAGAAAAGGAAGCCCCATTAGATAGGAAGCCAAATCCCAGACACTGCTCTCTTGGAGGAAACTTGAACTCTCTTCAGCTGAGGGCATATTTTACCAGCTCTAGTTTAAAATGGAATTGATTTGCTGTCTACCATAAAACCCTTTCTCCTCAACTCCAGAAAAATCAAAATCTGGGGAGGCAACAAGGACAAAAGTGGAGACAGTTTCTAAGTGTCTAGAGATGAGAGCCTGTTGAGAGGAGAAATTTTCACCTCTGGCATTAACTGAGATGTGGACAGGGCTGACTTTCTGTGACAAAGATGTTACCTGTTTTATGTGCAGGATGTTCTGTATTGATGATCCCGTGGGCGCATGTGACATGTACACATCCAATCGGCTCTAGGAAGTTAAAAACAGTCATCCAAGGAAATGGATCAGAAACAGAGAACAATTAAGAGTTTGTAACAAATAGGAAATTTGCTTTCAATTTAGACATCAAAGCATCTCAGAATATGTGTCTATATGAAACATCTGGATATGAGCAGACCTAGGTTGAGCTGGGCATGGGTTTTCCAAGGAAAAATAAACATGAACTAAGTCTAAATCTTGGTGCAGGGTAAAACGACCAGGTAAAGAGATACGTGCAAGCACAGGAATTGTATATATAGGTGCAGGCATGGTATGTACAAAGCAGGCTTGTAGGCTGCCACAGACAGATCGCAGATCCTGGGTTTCAGGTCTGTATGTTGTTAGTTATCATCTTTAGGACTCTGGTTAAATTATTTAATTTGAGTTGTACTTTTTCATCTACAAAATAAATATATTAACCTGGTAGATGTGGCACTGGGTGGTAGGGATAGGAAGCAGAGGCAGGAGGATCATTATGAGTTCAAGGTCAGTCTAGCTATAGTGTGAGAGTGTCTCAGAAAACCATACAAACAAATAAATAAATGAACTAAAAATCATGCTATCAACCTGTTAGGTTCCTGTGGAGAGATAACATTCTACAACAATAAAGGAGAATCCTTCCAAAGATTGTTTTAATCTTCGTGGAGATCATAGGGGGAAAAATGATGCAGTCCAATAACAACAATACCTGTACCTTACATATTATGATTCATGTAAAGGGAAACTATTGAACATCCTAACTTCTGAACAAGGAGGCCTTGATCAGTGGTTCTTCACAGGTGTAGCCTTTGAAAGCATAGGCATGAGATGGGATGGTGAACTGCTCTTTTGGAACTGGCTTTATTTGAACTGTCTTGTATTCTTTCTAATTAATGATTGCCACATTCTCGTTAGGATATAGCAGGGGTAGCTATGTAACCACTCTACTAGGCAAATTTAAATTCCTTCTGCTTGAATTCTCAGTAACAGGAAACAAGTTGCTAATAGAATTCTAACATCTTCCTCAGAAGGGGATTCCATCTCCTTCGACTCTGGACTAGACGTCCCACATTAAACAATGACTTTTCTTTGAATCCAAAGTCATAAATTAATGGTTGCACCCACATATAATAAGTGCACAGCTTACTCAAACTTCTCCTTTCCCAGAATTTAAATTTTCGTTTAATACACTAAAATGAAGTAAACAGAGAATGTTGTAAGTAACAGTGGCTTACAAGCATGTGGGAATATTCTTAGCGCTTTTTAGGAAAGTGTTCAGTCTCCTAACTTTGACAGATGATGGAGTGAATCTTTCCTTTCCCTGTACTCATGTTCATGTTCTTTTTGGATACCTAATCCTTCATGCACATCAAATATCTGCCTTCAAGGACTTGCAACACCATGCCTTTATATAGCAAATTGAAAGCTGGCATTTCTTCAAGCATCAGATGGCCACTTAGTTCTTTTCTTTTCATATTTTAAAATAAACTTCATTTAGATTTTTAAAGATATTTTATATTTTGCATCCATGCCTTCGAGAAACCTCTCCCATGGGAAAAGGTCCTTCTCATCTAGAGTTACCCATAATTCATTCGCTATTTGTTGTGGTTCCCTCAAATAAATCATTCTTAGTAACTCTTGGGATGATCTCCTAATTTCCAAAAACTGAAATATAAAGGAATGACGAAGTCATTACCAGGAGTGGTTGAATCTTATCTTCTTGTAGATAAAGAGTGTGTGTGTGTGTGTGTGTGTGGGGGGAATCATAAAAAACAAACAAAATAAAATAAAACACAAAAACCCAATTGGGGGGGGGGGAAATGTTTCCTATGACCTCCCCCTGATGCCAGAGCTGGCCTCTCTCCCTCACCATCAGGCTGGGTTAACCAGTGGAGCTGAAGGTCACAGGGATGCTCTCTAAGTGTCCCTGCCTGCTCTCTCTTAGCTTCTGGGCTAGGTTGGGATGGAAGAGGGAACCTGGTGGGGGATTTTTTTTTGAGCACTAACAATCATGTTCCTCTTCTCTTGGGCCTGTCTTTGGAGCCATGTTAATTGAGCCTAGGGAAGGATAGACTGGGGCATATCCATAGGGTCTGACCAGACATCTGGGCCTGAGTCAGTTGGGTAAAAGGCCTCTGGTGGCAAACACACACACACACACACACACACACACACACACACACACACACACCTCTCCACCCTTAGTTTATTCCACACATGGGCCAGGTAAATGTCAACAGAGAAGATGCCCATCTTCTGGGAAGGGCTATTAGGGAGGATATCTAGCAGGTGAGTCCTCTGTCTTTTTTTTCCAGTTGGCTTCTTCAGCCACACAAGGACTTCCTTGGAATCCCCTGAGTCCTGTCTTCCAATTCTATCAGCAGCTCAAGCAGGCTCATCCCATGAGGGCTGGCAGATGCCTATGCTGTTTGCCCCAACAGGGGTTCACCAAGGCATAGAGAACCTAGAGTTTCCAGCCAGTCCTGCGCCACCCCTAAACCTATTTCCCCTTTGCTCCAGGATCCCTTTTCCTTTCTACTGATCCTTTGCCACTAACAGCTGAGCCCACACCCTCATGGCCACTGTGGTGCACCCACTAACAGCAGCGTTCTCAACTCTTAAAAAGAGAGTTTTCAAAGCTGAATGAAACATTTGGAATGTATAGGATCCTGTGCCCAAATTCTCTAAAACAAGCCAAATAAAGCCACGTAGTTCTTATACATACCATATTCATATTTTTCTTATTGAATCCAGCCCACAGGGACATAAACTCACTACACAATGGCCGGAGTAGCTTTCTGTTGCAGACTTTGACGTAAGATGCCTTTGCCTTCTTATCTTCTAAAAAGAAACCTTTGGTACCAAACATATGCTGTGAAAATATAAAAAGAAGTTTATTTTTAAGATGTCTCCTTAAGTACCTTGATACTTGCTTCATTATAAGAATGAACCAATTTGGGAATCTATTTACATTTGCATTTATTTTTCTGCAGATGAGGAGACAAAGTCACTTAGAGGAGAATAGATACCTGTTTCCAAATACAGAAGGTCATAAATTGTAGTAAGGAGTCATTATCCATGGTGGATCTCTCCTGTAATCTGTCTAATCATAAATTACCAAGTTCTCATTCAGTGGTAAGAAAGAGGTTTTCACTTTAAAATGAACCATTGCACCAAACTGGAAGGACATGTGAGTTTTATCTGAATTTTTCTTGTACACATTGGCTGTGTTTTACTGTCATAAACTAACCATTCTTCACAGTGAAAAGCAGAGAATGAAACATCAGAGAGAATTTGGTGCTGGCATCAAATGCATGATGATGTCACAAGGACAGCATGTTAAACTATTCAGGTCTTGTGAATGTAAGCTTGGGTAGATCTCCAATGTAGTCCAGGAACTGCTCAGAAAACCAGTGGTGAGGGAGTCATAGAACTGGGTCTTAAAGAGGCAGGACCTCTGACAATAGAGAATGTATACATATAAAACACAAACATTATTGGGCTCACATCTGATGTATGGAAGAAGAGCAATGCATTTTTACAAACCAGATGTTATTGTAGATGGATGAGTCTATTGCAAATGTCTTAACAAACTAGTTTATGAACTTGAGTATGCTGGTACAGGAATTAGAAACAGGAAAGTTGCTGTAAGTTCAATGACTGTCATATTAATTAGTGGCAGTCTCCAAAAGAAAGATAAGAAGGAAGAAAAGAAGGAAGGAAGGAAACAATCAGGCAGATGAACAGACAGATAAGAAGCAAATTTATTCAACCAACCCTGTCCAGATGTAGATGGTAGTCAAAACTAACCGATGACAACATATTTTGAAATAGTTGTTATATTTCTTCTGTTCAAAGTAAATAAGGCAGTGAAAATGGTCATTTGACTATAGGACAACATCTTCCACATTTCAAGATGTGTTCACTAATATTTCTTTTATTTTCTACAACTCTGTCCCAAAGCAGGGCCTCACATTCTTTTATAAGACTTATAGTGGTGGTCAGGGTGCATGTGAGAGGGCAGAGAGGGTAAAAGGGAGGGAGGGAGAGAGGAAGGAAAGGAGGGAGGGAGGGGGAACTGGGATCGACATGTAAAATAATAAATTTAAAAAAGGAAAAAAAGAAGTATAGTGGTTGTCTAATTTTCTTTCTGGTTTCATTTTTGTACATATTTATTTTTATAATCATTCCAAACTCAAAGGACAATATAAACTAAAACTAAAGGACAAAAAAATACTAATAATTTTATCCTTCAAGATATGCTATTTGTGGTCATGACAGCAAGAAACCTAGACCAACAGAAGGTAAATCCAAAACAACTCTTAAATAATGAAATTCCAAATCCACAATTGTTAATTGAAGTATTATTTTGCAGCTTTAAAATTAATAGTAAATATTTAAATGTATATTTGAACTATAAGATATTTGTGGTAATATGTTATTTATGATTTGATAAAGCTTGCCTGACGTTTCAGGATGCAAAACCATCCTCAAGCTATAGAGATGAGGCAGTGGTGATGTATACCTCTAATCCCAGCAGCCAGACTAGTTAGCTATAGAAGCTAGGTGGAGGTGGTACATACACACCTTTAATCTTAGCACTCAGGATTAAGAGGCAGACAGATTTCTGTTAGTTCAAGGCCACAGTGACTAAATGAAATTGATTCAGTTCTAAAAGAAACGGCTCACACAAAGGTGACCTCAGCACCTGGGATCACAGTCCTCTAATCCCAGCACTAGGTTGGTGGAGTGATATGGCTGGGCAGAGAAAGGAATAAAGGGCAGGAGGAAACAGGAACTGGGAGCTTTTGCCTCTGAGGATTCATAGGGACAGGATTGCCATTTCAGCTAGGTAGAGGTAAGATCTACTGGCTTGGTTGCTTTGCTTCTCTGATCTTCAGCTTGAAGCTCGAACACCAATATTAGTCTCTGGGTCTTCTATTATTTCATGTTAACAGGTATTGAGTTACTGGAATAAAACTAGGTTCTTTAATGATTAGCATAAGCTCACACATGGAAAAATGTGTATTAGTTACAGTTTTCTAATGTCAAACCAAGACATTCATAATCATATGTAATTTAAAGAATATTTCCCATTCACACATTGTGAACTCACTGACCTGCCCAACTAAGCAGAACATGAAAATGTATGAGCAGACAATAAACTGGTGTAGAACCCAGCTCAGCTGGAAGTCTATGCAAGCCTCCTTGTAACTGACTGAATTTAGTGACTTGTATATGGTACCTACAGATACTAATGACACAGACACATATACACAGACACACACACACGTACGTGCACACGCACACACACACACACACACACACACACACACACACACACACACACACACTTCCAGGAACATTCTCATGGATTCTGACTTCTAGGGAGTTTGCCTAAAGTTCCTACTTCTATTTCATACAGATTTAAAAATAATAAGGATCTATGATACAAGAAGAGATCCTGAGATAAATTTTGGCAAAACGAGGAGCCTACCTTGATTATGGAATTTGGAAGTAGAAAAAAACTGGTAAAAATGCTTGTGGGATATTTGAACGAGATCACAGGACCCAAGGCAAAATTCATTTTGATTCTTTGTGCCAGTTCAGGCATGGTGGAAAAGGCTATAAACCCTGGGAGAATAGGAGACAAGACAATCTCGTAAAAATTTCATATACTCATGCAAAATTTTATCAATGGGAGTGAGTGGGATTCTGAGTTGCTGGACTTTATCTTCCTACTGCAGTGATCTCGGAGAGGAGTTGGAATGTCTCTCTGAGTTGTTTTGCCAAGATAATCTGACTTAAGATCTGGGTAATCCATAACTTTTTCTAATACTCTAAACTCATTTAGGGGAAATGATAGTAGCTGGTGGGTAAGGGGTGATCTGGTAAAACAGCTACTTCTTGGTGAACTATAGAAACCTCATTTTCTAAGTACCTAAGCATGTTGGTCACCCACAATTTTAAGTTGCTCAGTGAGTCACAGAGCTTCTAGAAGTAAGCAGTCAGTTCACAAGACACAAATAAAGCGGTTCTTTCTGCAGTTGTTTGCAGTTATTCTGTGAGCTGCCTTGCCTGCTACAGCATAAGATTTCATTGTCATTATCTTTGGCATCTTGCTGGATGTTCACGCCCCACCCACACCGTTTCCAGCTTCCCAGAGTGAAGAGTTTTCCCTTGGATCCACCGTGATATCGGTAAGATCCAGGTGACTCCATTTGCTCTGCTTTTTCCAACAGTGGCCTGACACCATTTATACTCCTGTGAGGATAAGGGTAAGGATCAGTACTGCACCCATGGAAGTTACAGGGGGTTTCTGGGCAATTTACTTCCCCAAGCTGCATTGCTGTGTCTCTGCTGGAGGTACGCTAACAAACACACATATACTTGCTGAAATGTTAACACTGCTGTTTGGGTCATGGAAATTAGCTGAGCAACTGACACTGTGCCAGGTACACAATTGGCACTTAGAGGATGTTTGGAAATGTGTGGAGGATAGTTCTTTGGTTGTCACACTAGCAATGCATTTTATAGACAGGCATTTATGTGTTACAGTCAGGGTTAACGAACAACCTTCAAATGGATTCTTTCCTCATTTAAAAATAATTGTACCCCCAATTCAAGAAGCACTTAATGAAACATACTCATGCCCAAATGCAACAGGGCATGATGGTTTCATTTAGTGTATTTTCTTTGCAGCTCAGTAAGGATGTCCTATTCACATACAGAGTTGCAAGTCAATTCCTTTGCCAGGGCTTCTGATCCAAGGTGGGCTCCAACAAACCTGCTTTGAATCTATGTTTTGTATCAGTGGGATTGGTCTGGAGATCGGGGAGGAAAAGTACTGAACACAGACCCCTAAACAACAGGAAGTATTAGATAGAATTAGCATGTAATTGTCCGGTTTCTTTTGGGTTCTCTTCTTGGCATGTTGATAATTTTTTGATCTGTCTTCTCCTTTGCCCACTTCCCCTCCCAGGTTTGTAAAAGACTATCAGCATGAAGAACTAAGCAGCATCTCTTTCTGGTTTTTTCCCAAAATGTCTGGGCAAAGCTTAGGGTGGGTGTGTGGCTTAAGATCCTTGCCTAGAATGTCTGAGTCCATGAGTTCTAGCCCCAGTGTTGCAGAAGAAAACAAAACAAAACAACAACCAAATGTCAAGGCTCCATTTACAAATAGAGATTAAGTTAAGATATTTTAATTTTTATCTTCTAATAGCTATTTTGTAAATACTAAATCATATAGATAGATATGGCTAATTGATTCATTATAGTTTCATGTCACAAACAAATGTGACCAAGTAGTTTCCATTTGTTCACATTACACTTGATCCCTCACTTTTAACTTATTTAGAGTGTGTCTGGGTTGTGAGGCAGCTGTGAGTGATATGGATTGTACTGTTTTCCTGATCTGTTGATTTGTCCTGTTGCTTAAGTTTTATCTTCCCAGTATAAAAGGGCATCTGGAAACTTTATCTTTTGAATTACCTCCCTGGACTTTGGACATAAACTATTCCTGGAGACTTATGTCACCATAACAGTTGTGTGTGGGGCTGTGATCCCCAAATGAGGGAAGGGTTAGGTTGGCTCTTCATACTCATAGCTTCTGGACCACAGGCTCACAGATATTCAGAATAGGAGGGTTATTCTCAGCACAGGACAGAGAATGAAGGGCAATATAAATAGCAAGCAATTACTTAATTCTAATCAAGTTGTGACAACATTAGCCTTTGTAAACATACCTATTGTAGTGCCGAGTGAATGTCCAATGAAGTACAACTTCTCTTGACCTGTTTTATTTACAATGAAATCTATTATCCCGGGGAGGTCATATTTGGCCATTTCATCAAAGCTGTAAATGAAACAACATATAAATACAACTACAGTTTTAAAACTCAGGCACTCGTTAGAATCTTTTTTTTTTTTTTTCACACAGGAACTCTGTACCACCTACCTATTCTGTGTGTATGTCTTTATGCACTCAGTTAAATGGAGACCAATACAAAATTTTGTGCTTTTGTTCTGTTTATTTTCTGATAGCAGGAATGGCTAGGGGAGTAACATATTCTCTCAAGTTCTTCATTCTTATTCCTTATGTTTTTCTTTGTTCCCCTTTCTTGCTTTCATTCCCTCTCTTTTTTGCTTCTGATTTCCCTGTGGTATTGATGAATGTTATTCAATATCTATCACTGTTGCCATTTATGATTCTATCATTTGCTAGCTGAACAACATTAGGGAAGTTATTTAAATGTTATGACTGCGAGTATGTCCACTTGGAAAATGAACAGGGAGTTCCTGGCTTATAGGGCTGTTATGGGGTTTGGATTGTATGGAAGAAATGACTAGCCTGTTAGTAGGTACTCAATCTCATGTTGTCACTGTTAGTACACACACACACATGTTAAATGTCCTATGATATCGACATTAAACTCCTATGTTCATCTAGCATCTGTAGAGATCAAAAAGGATGATATTATATTCAGTAGTATAAAGTAGCACATGAGCTTGTAAAAGTGCACACGAGGGAACCAATAAACTGATACAACCAAATGTGAGAGAATTGTTATGGCACCTCACAGAGAAACACTTCCAAGCGTTCTGCCAAAGGTTAGACATATGAAATGTTTTCTACATTTTGCCCCTCCACACAGCTGTAGTCCAAAAAAATGTATTCCTTTCCCTTTTTCCTCCAACCCTGCTCAGGGAGAAATGGCTATGAATTGATACAAAAACGATGTGCTCTCTATTCTAATAGCGGGATATAAGTCAACTTGGTGCTTAGGTCCCTTGGAAGGGAAGTCTATGAGGGGCAACCCTGTCCTCTAGTGAGAGCAGAAAACAGTTCTACTGAAATAAATTGTCAAAATACCAAAACCTTTTTATTAACTCTTCATTCACATTTTAAAATATCATATTGGAGTTTTTCCTAAAACTGTATGCTATATAATCTTTTTCTGTTCCCTCCTTTGGGTCTCCTCCCCAAATGTTGCTGTCATTTATTTGTTATTTGAGGTCATGTTTTCATGAAGACTGAACTATGGCTGGTCTGGAATTCACAATATAACTCAGGCTGTCTTTTAACTCATGGAAATCTTCTTGCTTCCCCAGTTCTGACATTACAAGTGTAAGCCACCATACTTGGCAGTATGGAATATAATCCCAGCTACAGTTTCTTTAAATAAATATAACATGAACATATTTTTTTTTACAAAATAAATTGCCTGAGAGAAAACACTACCTAAAAATACTAATAGAATTAATTCTGCTTTTTTCTTTTTCCTTTGGATATATTAAAAACACAGAGATTTTGTAATCCAAAATATTATGTATTAGCCACGAATTTGTATTTAAGGAAACCCCTCTAATTTTTCACAGATTTCTTTCTTAGACACAGCTTACCTGAAGGCCCAGAATTTCTCTTCGTTTGCTGAGAGAGTTTTGTGTCTTCTTGACCAAGTATTCCCCCGACTGTTTCCCATCCACACATCATAACCCGCATCTGCTAGAAGGAACCCAAGGCTTCCATTGGCGAAATTCTCAAGCCAGTAGGCATTGTCTGCAAACAAAGCATGCTGCATATATACAACCGGCCGGGGACCTAGACAAGGGGTGTAAAGAAAGAAAGGAAGAAAGAAAGAAAGAAAGAAAGAGAAATTTTTAGCCAGAATCTTTCTCTCTCTCTCATACACACAAACACAAACACACACACACACACATACACACACACACACACACACAGAGGCAAGCACACATGCACACATGCATGCAGCCACACACTCAGGCATGTACCCAGAGCATACCGTTTCTCCTTTGTCACTAGTGTGTTAGTTTAGAGTTTTAAATCCACAAGACCAGGTGCTGGATGGAACACATACTCTATCATGGTGCTGACTGGTGTGCATGCATCAGCTTCTTGACTTTTTAGGGCAATTTACAAAGTAGCTTCTACTTTGAGGAGCATTTTACAGATGTGCAGACCAAGCTTTCAATAATTAAATAGCTTTCCTAAATGGTCTCCTTAGTATCAAGTTTCAGAGCAGAAACTTAAAACCGATCGTGTCTCATGTCGAAGAACACATCTGTGACTGCTCTGCTCTATGCACAGATTTGCAGTCACCACCCTATGAAGCTTTGGCTTACAGTTTTCCAATCCTACCATGGTACAAATCAACACATGTTAAATATAAACCATACTTCAATTGCAATTGTGATCCCCCCCCCCCGGGCTAAAAGGAACAATATGATACTCTTTCTAGATGCTACACAGGGCAGACTTGTGCTTTACCTTCTAGATAGTCACGGAATGGCAAGTGCAAAGCACTACAATGCACTGTGGTTTTGGACTATATTTAGCTAATTGGGTGTATCAAACATTTTTTCCTCATGGTATTTTCAATTTAAGTTGGGTTTATTAGTGCATACTCCCATTCTATGTTGATTAGCATTTGCAAGCATCTCTTGCAAAGATGCAAAGCTTTAGATGGTTAATAGAGTTCTGCATCAGACTTAGGGAGGAAAAGGAGGTACATGTAAGTGTGCATAGATTACTTCATTGTCAAAATTTCCACCGTTTCCAGCTTTTGCTCACTGGGAGAATTTGCAAGCTATGAAAATAGAAAAAACTAGACATTCTTCTACCCAATCCCAGGTTCACAAGTGTTGTAGAATATTCTTTTTAAAATGTTTTATATTCATTTATGCTATGGAACATTTGTTTAATGATACAAATATATGTTGTATTTTTTTATGTTGCATTTGTTTAACTCTGTGAAGCTGTGTTACTTTGCCTGTTTAAAACACCTTCTTGGTCTAATAAAGAGTCGAATGGCCAATAGCAAGGGAGGAGAAAGGATAGGCATGGCTGACAGGCAAAGAGAATAAATAGAGGGAGAAATCTGGGAGGAAATTAAGGAGCAAAAGGAGGAGGGAAGATTGCAGTGGCCAGCCACCCAGCTACACAGCTGAAGTAAGAAATAAAGAAAGGTACAGAGAAACGGAGAAAGATGAAAACAGAGACAAAAGGTAGATGGGATGATTTAAGAAAATCTGGCTAGAAACAAGCCAAGCTAAGTCTGGGCATTCATAAGAAAGAACAAGCCTCTGTGTGTTTATTTGGGAACTGGGTTTCAGGCCTCTAAAAAGCAAAGAACAAAGGAAACCCCGCCCCCAACACATGAGGGAGTGGCTGTTCAGTGAAGTGAGAGAACCAGGGATGTTGATTTAAAAAAAAAAAAAAAAAAAAAGCAAAGCAGCAACAAGAACAGCAGGAGCAGTGAGTAGCACAATAACTAATGACTAAAGATATAGGTCCTGGAGTCAGGCTGCCCAGATTTAAATCCTGGTGTTGTCACTTGTTATTTGCATGACTTGGTGCCTGATTCAGAGACTGCCTGTCCCCATCATCTGTAAATGGAGATGGCTAGTGTTTGCTGAGAGTTTTAAGTGACTAAAATATATAGAACACTACAGCTAACAAGTAATTTTCAACTCCATTTCTTTTCACAATTTTCTCTCCTTGAATTTATCCCTGTAACATTCTTCTCTCCATACTCTTTCCTCCATTGTTTGTTGCCCGATTTAATAAAGACAAATTGAAAAATAAACAAGACCCAGGATGCTCTTCTATTTTGAAATGAAGGTAGCACGGCATTATTTTGAGTATACCCATCTCCTAGAGTAGATATTCTATTAAAATTATTTATTGGTTTCTTTACATTTAGATCTAACTTGGAAAACTATACTCTGTGTGGCAGAATTGCCCACATGCCATTCTGAGTTTTCATTTGAAAACTCTTGAGTTGTGTATTCCTTTCTCAGAGGGGCAGGTTATATAGCACTGATTCTGGTAGTTTTGGCTGCCATTGAATATGGATGGAGGAAAAGAAGCTATAGGACCAACATGGTAAGCAGGTGTCAATAAAATAGTCCCCCCTATCCTTTGGAAATCTTTTGTTTACACTTAACTCACCCTCTGCATAGGGTAGCTGCAATTAACTCTTTCTTTTAGAGTATAATTTCCATGCTTTTTCATGTTTGGCTCATTCATTTCACAAACTGTCCCTTTGATCATGGCTGCCTGAACGTTAGTTTTCATTCTTAGAGAAAGCTTCAGAAATGCACTGTTATTCAAGCCCGTGGTGAGAGAAGAGACCCATTGATCCTAGAGGGATCAGAGGAGGCACATTTGGGTATCTCACTGGAGTCAACTTCATTCAGCCTAGCAAACCTCCTTATAACAGCTAGGAAACTAGTCCTCCCTACCCCCAAGAAGCCAATAATGAGTTAATAAAGGTAGTTTCCACCTTGGTATTCACACCGGAGGACTAGGCCTGATTTTCCTTAGCAAGATCTGTCTTGCCCTTGAGTCTTCAGGGAAATGAAAGAAAAATAGTGAGCCTCCCTTTTTTTTTTTTTTTTGCCATTAAAAGACCACTACAGTAACTCAAACCAGTGTGCACAATTCAAACCCTCTCCTGATGAATAGCTAGCATTCAATTTCAGTCATGCATCTTTCTCCCCAGGAGACATGCCTGCTGTACCTGTGTGTTCAGCCTGTGCTCTCCCGTGTGGAATCCTGTTGAGGGCAAGAATGTACCCATCTGCAGTGGTGACTTCATACTCTTCACTAGGGTAGCCATTGTAGATGATGATTTCGCTCTGTTGTAGACATAGGGTTATTTGCAGCTCTGTCTCTCAGGAGTCACCATGAAGTGACTAACAAGTTTATGGGGCGGCTTATATGAAATCTATAGCCATGGGTAGTTGTAAAATTAAATTTATTACACAAGGTCTTCATAAAAATAAACAATACGCTAGAAGGGACCTACATAAATATTGGGGTGAGTATTTAGCATTGACTGATCTGAGTAGGCTATGTTTCCTTGTTATTTGTCTTTTGACTTTCATTTTAGATTTAAAGATGGTAAAATTCCATGCCAGGAGAATGCTGTCATGAGTTATCCAAATAGTTTTAAAAGCATGACTTTAAAAGGGCTATTGAAGAATGTAAAAGACATAGCATGTTCTGCTTCTTACAGCTAGAAAATATCAGCTATTAAGTCAAAGGGGCCGATTTACCAGCTTGACACTTGCAAAAATGTTACAAACTGTTTATCCCATCCAAGATTTTTCCTGTAGCAAGGCTGGGCCTTTTGCAATCCCACCACCCATTAATCCAGTTTTATTTGAAGTTGTTTGGACTTACAGCATTCATCCACACTTCAGGATTCACTTCATTTTCGAAATCCAAGAGTTCACTAATACTTAAAGTTCCACGTATCAAACAAGCTGTTGTTAAAAATAACCACATCATAGGCATGCCTGGCACAAAACATTTAATGTTTATGGGTTAATCTTATCCATCTATGTTTATGACTAAAATTAAAATAGTACCATGTGGAAACCTCAAAAGACAGCAGAGAAATCTGGTGCTTTATGGAAGAAACAAATACTTGATGTGTTAGTCATCTCATGGAGTAAACTTAACCCAATCTGGAGGCCTTTCAGATTTTGTTTTAACTAAGGTATTTATATTGCTCTGTCTTTGTTCATCTGTTAGTTCAAAAGGCAAGTTTTGACATTATGGCAAATTAAACAGTGGAGTCATCTGTATCCTTGCCTTTCATCCACAAAGCACATGGGAACAATGAGCAGATGGAGTTTCCACTAAGTCATCAAACTTGTAGTCAGTTTCAGGAGAAGTGATACTTTCCCATGCACATTTTCCAAAGTTCATCCTGGCACATTTCCATATGTAGTCATACTCTATTGCCATAGCTCAAAGAATCATATCTTCAAACAGACCAAACCATCTGAGCAGGTGAGCTCATCTCCTTGATGCTACTAAAATAAGTCAACCAGTACTTGAAGTTCAGTCTCCCCACAAACAAGCTTTTTGACTGTGGATAAGGATGCTAAACTCTATGTGTCTTAGTTTTTTTTTTTTTTTTGTTAGTATCATTAAGATAATAATATCACGACTTGTTCATAGTGACAGTGACAGACATAACACACGGCAATGTAAATTCCTTAGAGACGTTTCTACTATTTTTCTTGTTAAGATGAGCAAGAGGCTAATACCAGAAATCCATTACTATATCCAGTTAATGTCTAAATTTTAAAAGCACAGTTTACTTTTATGCAAATAGCCTCTTATACATCTTGCATCTTCTTTCAAATACTGTCTATAGATATTATATGTAATTTGAAAAATAATGGGAGATGTCAGCTCATAAAGAAAATGACACTAATAATATCTATTGAAAACTTCAAAGGCATGGTCTTCAATGTTTAAGTTATGTTACTTAAATATAGAAAAGCTCCATACATGCGTTACTGATACATCCTCACAAATAGCAAAGCAAAGACTTAGAGACACTTACGATCTGCCCAAGGTCACAGAACCAGCAGGTGACAGGTCTAGGATGGGCATGCAGACAGCCTCACTGCAGAGCCCTTCACCTTATGGCCATTCACATCTGCCTCCTGGTTGTGATGAGTCTCCATCTTACCTAGTTAGGTGAGCTTCCCCTGTCCAGAGGACTTCTGTACTTTTGCTTTTGACATCAGGCTGAAGAGTGAGATACAGCTGTAGTGACAGTTAGAAGCTAGAGAAGTAACAAACAGGAAGCTGGTGGAAATGAGGAAACCTTGGACTATGACACGCCCAAGGCGTCTCCCCGGCACACCAAATGCATGATGCACTTGTAGATTGGGAAATAGTGGTCTACATGATGCCAAATAACCAGTTTGGCTGAGTCTCACTGATGTTTGCAGTTAGTGTCTGTCACTGTTGAGAGGAATCAGCAACCTTTTCATGCCAGTGCTTCACATGAGCTCAGAATCCTATTGGACAAAATCAGATAACAGGCTCTCCCCTCCCAACCCTACAGCATCATCAGCATCATGATGGGAATCCACAGAAACAATGTATGAAAGTACTGGTGTCAGCTGTGTAGTATGCAGGGAAGCATGTGACTATGAGTCAGTTGAGATGTAATCCAATTCTTGACATAAGACCAGGGGGAGTGTGGTAGAGGAAGCCAACCCACATGTCAAAGGACTTTGACCTATAGTAAACTTTGGCAACAATCAATTTGATTGTGGATCTAGAAAACATCTAACTTCTTCCTTAAAAAAGGTAGAGATGTATGCCTAAAAAAGGGAAAACACTTTAGCTCTAAATTACACATGAGCAATACAAAATGGAGTTTTGTATGCTGCAACCTCTATGTCTTCTTGTAAACCTACAGAACCTAAACCAGTACAGTATAAGCATTTCTATTTGGTCTTACACTGAAATCCTTTCAGGAATGAAGCATATTTGTTCAAATCCTAGGATCCATTTCAGTTGAATGGGAAATTTCATGCCAATTACACAAAAGTGGAGTAAGAGGCGAGTCTCAGCTTGTTGGAACAAGAAGAGCTTAATCATTACTCCATATTCATTTCAACTTTGATAAAGGATGTTTTGTTCTAATTGACAGCATGGTGACAGAGACATATGCACTTGTTTGAATGGCTCACAGCTTTAGACTATTAAGCACTTCTGAGAAACTTTCATGAACTTTTTGGAAAGTTCTAGGAAGCACAATATTTGTCCTTTATTTTTTCTTTTCTGTTTTTATAGACAGAGTTTCTCTGTCTTGCAGCCTGTCCCAGCACTTTCTCTGTAGACCAGGCTGTCCTCGAACTCACAGAGATCCACCTGTCTCTGCCTCTTGAGTGCTAGGATTAAAGGCATGCACTACCATTGTTCGTCAGGAAGCACAATATTGTTATTAGTGTTGATTTGTTGTCATGACTTTGCATACAAATAGCATGACTATAATTCAGTTCCTCAAGATTTTATAGATTATAAACTAGTTCAAGTCTCCAAAAGATTTTCCATTTGACTATATTTCAATAATCAGAGGAATTTTCTTGTTTTTTTCTTGGACAGAAAAATTATGCCAAATAAATGAGGATCATCTTTTGATAACAATTTATCACCCCCCCCTTTTTAAAGTGAGAAGTTTTATTAAAAAGGTGAGGGAAGGGAAAGTAAAGGGAAAAGACAAACACACACACACACACACACACACACACACAGAGAGAGAGAGAGAGAGAGAGAGAGAGAGAGAGAGAGAGAGAGAGAGGACAGAAAAGAAGAGGGAATCAGGGAAAGTCTTGTCTGCTCCAGGGAAACAGCCTGAAAGAGAAGAAAGAGTAGCAAGAGAAGAGCAGAAAAACTCACCTTTCTTACATAATCTTGTCTTTTTAAAATAATTATTCAATATTTAACTGAACATTGTGTATGCTATGGAACATTGTTTATTATATTTCCTATAAGTATTAATGCAATATTAATGTAATATTAAATGTGGTTAGATAGGTCAATCATCATATTAGTCTTGATTAAAATGAACTGAATGGAAACATCTTACTTAACCCTATGAAATATAAAATAGTAGCTAGCTTCTGGTCTCTAAACGTTCATTTTTTCCTCTACAACTAGATGATATTAGAGATGGAAAATAATTATAGATAAACATTTAAATTAGGCAATATTTAGGAAAAATGTATATAGTGTTTCTGATATCTTCATCAAAAAATCCTACCACAGGCCAGCAAATTGTTTAAGGAACACTGTCCATACATTGACCAAAATGTCTTAAAATGTGTGTACCTTGGACCAAACATGACATCTGTCCTGATAAGTTTTATCTCTTCTTTTGTTTTATTGTTGCTTCCACATCAAAGCCTTTGTTTCTTTTCTCTTTTGAGAAGGGACTCTCAATGGCTTCAAATTCATAGTTATCGTACCTCTGCCTACAGGCTTTTCTTAAGAAAAGTTTTATCTTGATTATAACTTTAAGCTAAAAGTTTAAATCTCATACATATAACACAGTAGAAATTAATGGGTCTTTTGAAAAATTAACTATGAAATAATATGACTCTGAGACAAATTTTCTCTAGAGAAATAGATCATAATCTATTTTGTGGAGTTGGTTTTGGTTCCTTTCTTATTAGATAATTTATCTAATTTATTTTCTATTCTTAAAATCAGAGAGGGCTCAATAGTAGCGTATATATGCATAAATATTTATTGTATGCATATAAAAGCTTAATTAGCACACTTTGGATAGTTGAAAAATACATGTTAAAATTTCATTTCTTCATTTTTTATATATAGCAAAGTTGTTAATGCTTATTATTTATAAAATAAAGAATTGTTTTGAGACTTCCTAATAAAATGACATTTTAAAAAAATTAGTGACAAAGAATCTTTTTTGTATCACTAAACTACACACATCTTCAAAAACAATACAGCCATGTTAAAGAAACATAAGAAAGAAATGCAAATAATAATCATATTGATCATAAACAATGAAAACATTAAATCTTTTTGAAGAGACTATAGCATAATCTCATTGAATACATTCCCATCCTCATATAAATGATCAAGGGAAAACTCACATTTAAACATGAATTAGAGCCAAAATGCTAGTAGCTGACCTTAATGACACCCATGTCATAGTAGGTATTAGGCTCAGGATTGTGATTATGGCAAAGGTCAAAGCTCTGTGACAAGAAGAGCAATCCTCCTCCTCCAAGCAGGTTCACCTACCTACCTTGCTTAATGCATGCACTGTATGTATGGCATTCTCTACAGCTCATGGGTGTTTGAATTCTTGTAGGTGGTGTGTTCAAATAGAGGTCCCCCCTCACCAAAGCACATCGAATACTTGGCCGGGAATTTTGATTGAGTATGATTTTGTTTACAGTCTCATCCTCTTTTGTTGATAAATAAAATTGTAATTGGCATAACACTAATTTCTTAGTTACATGTTTCTATCTTTTGTAAGTTAATATTTTATTTTATAAGGTTACTGAGAGACTACCTTGCAGTGTTCTTATTATTCCTAGAAATGAGATTTTTTTTTAGAGTTAGATTATCTATTTTATCTCTTTCCAACCACCAGAATCATCAAAACTCTGTGGATTGAGTAAGTGAATGAATGAATGAGTATAGTAGGCCAGAAAATAAGGGTAAATGACTATTAATAAAAATAGGTTATTATTTATTGAATACTTACAATGAGTCAAGTATCTTACTTTGATATTCTACCAACTTGGCCATAGATTCTCCTAAATCTTTCTTAACATTATATAATATTTAACCTTTGAGGGAAAATTTACAGTCAAAATAAATCAATTATATCCTATGTTTTAACAAAATTAACATTATTTTAATAAATCACATCAAATACTACTACAATGGTAGACTATTACTTGGTAACGTTTGTTTTCCTGACACTCATAACTGGTGCCTGCTTTGACATAGGCTGACCTTTCATGCACTTTGTACTCACATGAGTAAAAGACTGATACAGATCTTTCTCATAGTTTTATATTTTCAAATAATAATTGTCTCTTTTAGCCTATGCTCTGCAGTGCTTATGAAGTCAGCTGCATGACTCAGCATGTGTATGTACATAACCATTTCTCACAGAGTGTCACAGCTCCTATCAGCATGTGTTCCCTTGATAAGCCATGTACACCAAAAGAGAAACCTCTCTGTGAACCTTTTGGTACCTGACCATCCATCCTTCTCTTGCCAAAACTATATCTTATTTGTGAGGACACATCTGTAGCTCCCTTATTTATGTCGAGAGATTCTTGAGAAATGAGTATTTGTCAAAGATGTATTAATTATAGGTCCTAAAATTACCCAGCTCTCATGGAACTCAACCAAGCACTGCCTAACAGTAGGGCACTCTACCTTAATTATGTATTGATTGTTGACTCTGTATCTAAGTGATGGGAAATGCAATTGAGTTACAAGACACACATAGTATGTCAGTCAAGAAGTAGGGCTTCCATCCAAGGCTCATAAAAAATAGTAGGAAGTAGATAACCCCTTTACCCTCCTTTTTGCTCTCTGCTTTTTTTTTTTTCATTTTTGGTTTTGTTTCTTGACACTCCAGTACTTCCTATACAACCCAGGACATCTTTGACTTCCTCTGGAATAATTTTTGAGCCTCCAGCTTTCTATGCTTACTTCATGCCTAATCAAATCTAGCACTCACAACACCTGTACAGACACTCCGCATTTAGTCTGTTAGTCTATTGTTAGTGTACATTGTAATCCTATTACTTTTCCATGCATATGATTATATCCAGACCTAAATGCCAACCATAGGAATATATAGAAAATCTTTATGTAACTAGACCAATGGGCTTGTTATTTGCTCTTTGATTTTGAATACCTTACTTAATTACTTTTGGTATTTAGAATTTTCTTATCCAAATTATCAAAACCTAACTTTGGTAAAGACAAATGTGGCAATGTGTGTCCTATATGAAATTTAAGATATAGTAGGAACATTATAAATATTAATGTCTTACTTCTAGTCACCTGACTTTCCTCCTTCCTCCAATAGTTAGATAAAATATTAGAGTCTATTGACTAAATAGAGTAATTGTTTGATTTATAATAATATTCTGTGGTCAAAATTGCATCATAAGAATCAGGATACCATCATGGTTGCATAAGAGTGCTGGTCGCTGTAGTGAGGCATCTTTGAATTCATAACCTTCTGCACATTTAATCTCTTTACATGCAATCCAGAAATAGAGATGCTAATATTATCTTTATCTTACAGACTAGAAAATTGAATTAGAATGATTAGATAATTTGTTTATGATGTAAATATAGTGGTGGCAGAACTCAAATTTATTTTACTGTAGAGCTCATGGTTAAGTGTTATTTTATATT